AATGATTTAAAACTAAATTATATTACTAGTTAGTAATACAGCGAAACCATAGAAAATATTACATGAGAACTGCAATAAACTCATCAGTAAGTAGTCCATTAAAAGTGTTTATTATGATCTGGTAATCTCGAAACCACATGTTTATCATTAAAACCAATACTAAAACAAGTTGTTAATACTTAACATATTTTAGTGTAAAAAATATAAAGTAAACCTTACTGTAGTACTCCATAAAAAATATAAACAAACCAACCACACTTATCTAATTTTTTTGCCTCAAATAAACATAAAATTAAAACCATTTTTCGCCGAAAAGCAAGATAGTGACATTAATTGCCACCACGCGGCAGCAGACTCTTTCATCCCCTTTAATCTATTCAACTCATGCATATTTATTTATGTAAGCTACCCCAGAACATGTTATACATAAACTGGTAAAACTCTACAAGGGATTACCGATAAAGGGAGTTTTAAAATATGTAACATTGTGTCACTCATATCGCTTGAGGAAGCCTTTGGCCCATTCGTGTTTCGTTTTGTGATAAATTTGTATTATTAGGTTTGAAGCTTGTGCGCCGAAATAAAATTAAAATCGCAAACTTGTTGTTAAATAGAAGACGAGAAGACGGTAAAACTTTTAAATATCAAAAGTGTCGAAGAATTTTTGTAGACTCAAAATATATAATATGATACACAACCTTTGAATTCGTATTTAAGCATTTCTATAATTACATGGTTATCCATAATATAATGTCGTTTTTGATCAAATTTTGATTCTAGTCATAAAATTTAAAATTGTATGTTTTTTATACCGACTAAGCGCTTATTCAGAGTTCCCACCAAAAATAGTTAATCAAATACCTTGACATTCCAAGTTTACCATGACCAAAGTGACATTAAATGCCATGATATTAGGAAAGTTTAACAAATGTCTGCAAACAACAAAATTTATTTATTTATGCAAGGTATTTATAAAACAGAACCGAATTTTAACCACATGCAGAGAACAAAAGATAAAATACGTAAAAGAAGTTTTTCTTGAAATATTGAATTTTTAAGGTTTTCGGGGGTAGAAAGAGGGAGGTAAAATTCATATTTTGTTTATAAATTCAGAACTCCTTAATTAATGTCGTGCAAATTTGGTACAGGGCTTTAGCTTATTAACAGTAACCATTTGTTCGATATATACAAGACGCTTAATCCTGTGACAAATTTGTTTGCTATTTTTCTCTTACTAATTAGGATAATCTTTATGAAGTACCAAAGAAATATTTCAAAAAGTCCACATTTTTCGTAAAATGAATGGTCACTAAAGCCATAAATCAATATGAAGTGGTTTGCGCTAATAATTGCTTGAAGGAAAACAGTGAACAAATTCAATAAAATTTAAACTGATTTTTATTACAATTAAAACTATAAATTAATAATTTAAGCACGTGTTTTCTTTTCAATGTGGAATAAAATATATTATTTTATATTTTTGATATACTTGATGATAATATTTTGACATATTTGTATAAATACTTGATAATGATGGAGAAATATTTTTCAATTCTATTTAAAAACATATCTAAATATATATCTATATTATAATGATATTATTTATTTACACATCGCACATTTTAACAATAATTCTAAGCAATATTGGCTAATGTTAGCATAAAATACGTACAGATTTTTCGCTTTTTACAGTGCCCTTCCCTTTCTGAAAAGGTTCCACACCGTGAAATATTTCATTGATGCTTCCAAAAAAAAGATGCCAACTTGAATACAAACCGGAGAAAAAATGTGATAAAATTTAACTCGGGTAACTTCGAAAATACCAGGAATGAAGTACCCAAAAATAGCTATTTAGATAATAATATTAATAGTAACAAGTACAGTAGTAAATTTTCAAGAAATTGATTAATCGGGTTTGAAATTATAATGAATTTTTGCAGTCCCTTTCCACCCCCAAAGATATTTTAAAAAATCAAAATTTAAAAAACAGGAAACATTGCGACATTCTTATTTTTCTGTTCCATGAATGAGATTAAAATTCAGCGCCATTTTTTAAAATCATCTTGTAGATAAGTACTTTGGTAGTACTAGTAGAACGGATCGTCACCGCAAGGATAAAAATTCTGTTTATAAAAGTATGCATATTTCGGGCAGGTCGGGGTATTTGCCCGCTGAGTAGTTGTTTCGTTCAAATCATATTTAATAACAGTAGTTTAGTTCACCTGGGCTAGAGGTCGCCGCTCTCGGTACTTGCTTCGCAAGTCGCTATCCGCCACAGAGACATTTATGATGTCGATCGGATAGTAGCATTTGGACCATATGAGAAGTTTCACATACCTCTCACCACTACTCAGTTTACCTTAGTCAGTATATGAGTAGCAGGTTGGCCACTATCATTTGCCTGTTCCATAACCTATGTCATACTGAGGAGAATTAATAAGGTCGAAATCGGTCTATTTCTGGTTAGGAATTGACAAATGATATTGGCTACCGATCTATCATGATTTGAAAGTATAATCCAATGCAGGTCGGGGTATTTGCCCGCTGATAGTTGTTTCGTTCAAATCATATTTAATAACAGTAGTTTAGTCCACCTGGGCTAGAGGTCGCCGCTCTCAGTACTTGCTTCGCAAGTCGCCATCCGCCACAGAGACATCTATGATGTCGGTCGGATAGTAGCATTTGGACAATATGAGAAGGTTCACATTAATATTTATATAAATATTTAGATACTAGTACTACTCGCTACTTTCATTGAATTAAGACAATCAAGAAGTTAGAAGATTTGGCTGATACAAATTAGTAGGCACAATTTATTACTGTAATGTTATTTTTTAGAAAACGTTTCAATAAAATGTTGTCAAATTTACACTACAAGCAGCAGGTAATTAAAAAGATTAGACGCAAATTCCATGACTGGCAGGAATTACCAGTTCTTATTAAAATTTCCTGACTTTCCATGACTTTTTTGGATTATTCAAAATTTTCTGACTTTTCCAGATTTTATAGAATTTCCATTTTGGTAGGAAACCTGTTATATTTCAATCGTTATGTGAGGTAGCCATATAAAATTTAGAGTAACGACGTAAGGTACAACTTTTACATTTAATGTTAGAAGAATGCCCAGATGGTGTCAAGCAGTATTAAATGCAAGGAGTGGTCCTACAAAATATTGATTACATAACTTTTAACGTAATGTGGTATAGTGTATATTATAACGTAGAGTAGATAAAGTCATCATTAGAATGTCCGCGCACTAAGCGGCCAGATCGCGACGGCCAGGATATACACGACCGAGAACGCGAGAGCAGCCCCTGAGTGGCTAGCAAATGTGAATAGTCAGTAAGGAAGAAAAAGCTGTACTTGAACCAGTGAGTTTTAACGCGTGACAATGTTCCTGTACGGATTGTACTGTACTGGCCGCTGTGTAGTCGACTGCTTGTGCACGGTCACTTGTTACATTTTGTACAAACCAGCCGCGTGTGCACCCTTTCTATTCTTATTGGTTGTCGCGACTCGCTGGCGTAATGGGGCATATAACTCAATACAAACCGTTGGCCGTCGCTACCTGGCTGAATAGTGTGCGTGGGCTCTTAGAATGGACTAAATTCAGTAGTGTCACACATAAGCCAGCAATGCCCACAATGCATTTATTTTTCGATAACAACGAACTTATTTGGTCGCAGTGTTTTTTTCAACATTGTAAATCTTACATAGTGTTTAGAAAACTATTTATCTTTCATCTCCTGTACAGACGACAAAGGCTCAGAAAGAACAAGTGGGAACATTTACATAAGCAACACAGTGTCTATATTTTTTCCTAGAAATGCGCCTCCTATTGCATAAACACATTTGTGTACAGTGAAAACAATTATTCAACATATACAGAGGTAATATTTGCAAACTTAAAAAAAATTGGAAACTATCAAAAATATTTATTCCTATTTTATTAATTGTACAACAGTAGCATGTAAGTCCGTACCTGGAATGACTACCTGAGATGCGGTCTCTAGTTATTAATATTATTGTAACAAACTCGATGCACGACGTACTGATTGTGAAGCAAGATTGCCTTCCTGCTTGATACAAGCAATAAGCAATGCGGTATGCCAAATTCTCATTCAATAAATAATACGAGTTTGTTCTCTACGACACCGCCGCTGAATTACTCAATTAATGACCCGGGGTCTAGTTGCCATATTTCATGTGATGAACAAAAGTTTATATCAGTGAGTTTTCGTGACCAGAACATCATTTCAAATTAAGTTTTCTCTACATTCATTTCTTCAAAGTAGGAGAAAAATATTTTTTTCTGCTCCAAAAAAGTCGCAACCAGAAACGTCCCGAGAGTTGATTATAGAACTCTTATACATACATTTTGTTTTTAAACACAATGGAATATGTTTTAGAATAGAGTATCAAGTTTATATTTACAACCGATTTAGAATAGCAGAATATGTATGTTAAGAATAATTATTGTTGTCAAAAGTCAACTCAAGAATGTGTAAAGAAGAGCCCTTAAGTATGATGTGTGAAACATATTTAACATTTAGAAAGCTTACAAAATACGGATATACGCATGAACCATTTATTTATGAGCTACTATATTTTTATTATTATCAAAGCGAGTATACATTTATATATTTTAATTATTTGCACATCTGCGAATACAAAACAATTTTTTTTTATAATAATTATATACCTATGTTTAAATTTTTATATAATGAATAAAATTATTGAAAATTCAATTAATAAAAGAATATTTTTTTTGCATCTAAAACAATTAAAAATTACTACTATTTGGTTTTAAAAGAGGGGAGTCGTTATTGTTATTAGTTAATAGTTTCATAAAACTTCACATGAAAAATATCCCTTAAACTTGTATATCTGAAAATAATAAAATGTTATATACATGACAAAAATAAATGACAGTCGTTATTTAAAAAATTAAGCCTTTTCAAGAAACATAAAACTTATTCTTAGTAAACAGTTTTAATAGTGTCTCCGTGGTCGAGTGGTAAGGGCACTTGCCTCTCACCCTGGAGTCCCGGATTCGATCCTCAGTGGAGGCGCTAGGATTTTTTCTAAACCTGAAATTAATCCTAGCATACTCGGACATTGGATGTGTGTTCATTTTATCTAAATGTGTAACCCTCTCCCACACAAGGTAGTTGAGGTACATTCAGGTATACAGAGGGTTGTATTACCTGTGGTGTTTAATTAATTAGTTAATTTTGTTTTTATGTATCCCCCAAAAATAAAAAAGTTATGGGAAAAGTAATAATGCCTTTTTCGAGAAATGTTCTAGATAGATAATACTTTTCCACGGATTTTTAATTTTTATAGAAACACATAAAAGTGACAAAATATAAATATATCTCTATATCTAATGGTAAGTAAGATACCTATTATAAACCTTGAATATGGAACACTCTATATATGGAATTAGTTGCCGCCAATAATATATTTTGACCTGTTAGCTAATGACTTAATGTTCATATAAACTAGTTTTATTCTCACTTCCTTTTCAGACAAGGGTATCCCATAATTAAGTACCTTTCGTCAAGGGGTGATCGAACTAGAAAAAATAATCAACTTATTTTTTCTACCTCTATCACCCTCTTGAAGGAAGGTACTTAATCATAAGACACTCTGTATAAGAGTACTATACCTAATATTTTTGAGAAAAAATAATCCGCTATAAAGGTTGCACTACGGAGGAGATCCACTGTATGACCATTGAGGTTCCCGACTTTAAGTTTCCTTGATTTTTCTTGTGAGAGTACTTGAAATCTATTATTAATAGAACCGAACAATTAGAGTTAAGACTCAGACAATGGATAACTATTTTCATTTAAGGTTTGAAAGATGGGATAAATGGGAGTAGTGTGATAATGAGTTGATAAGCAATCGTTGGTATAATAATATATGTTTAATAAACAAACAATAATTAAAAATGTTATCTTACATCTTTTATATTAGTAAGATGGCATTTTGCAAGTATTTTTTAGTAAAAACATAGTCTTTCTCCCGTTTTACCACCTGATTTAAACAAAAAATACCGATTTAACTGGTAACAAAGAAAAATAATTTTAGTAAATGCATAAACGTTAATTATAATTAAAATAGGTGTTTTAATTTTTGTAAACAGAATAGCAATAAAGATAAAATTTATGACATGATGACATACGTAGTTGAAAGATTGTTGTTTATATTACATAAAACATAATTATTAGTAAACATTTATGAACATGAAAAATAAATTATAAGGTTCCATGGTGTAATGGTTAGCACTCTGGACTTTGAATCCAGCGATCCGAGTTCAAATCTCGGTGGAACCTGATTTTTGGAAGAAATTTTTGAAAGTATATATAATTTTGGTCACTCGATGCACGGATTTGGAGCATCTGAGTAAAATTGTTAGTTAACATATTTTTTAAATTATATCAGATTACTACTTCGTTTCTGGTTTTGGTCACTTACTTTGTTCTTTTGAAAGTAACATTTGTCTTAAATACTTACGTTTCCGTTGATGTCTGGATATGCATGATATTTAAGTAGTTTAATGAAATATGTATAATCCGGCCATTTGCGAAAGCCATCTTAAATTTTTTGCAGCTTTGCACCATTCTTTTGCAAACCTCCCTCTGCAAGCTTAGATATGGCGTAGAAATTGTTATCTTCTATTTGTCCACATTTCATTTGTAAGTATTTAAAACGTACAGATCAGAAGTTATATATTCATGGGTTCTATTTTCCAAATAACAAACACTAAAATCAACTCAGTATCTCCGTTGGCTTATATTCCAATGAAAAATTTAATAATTTAATCTTTATTTTTAGGAGTAAATGACAAAATAGAAGATGACAAAACACAAGACAACCATAGAAGCATAAAAAAATAATTTTGTTGCCCTACAACAACAGTTAATGTTAACACAAAGAGATTTTAGTTGCAAAATCCAAAATATTGGCGAAATATTTCGCTGTAATTATCAAAGCCTCGTTTGTGCTATTAAATCCGCTACAGTGTCGAAAAATTTAAATTTCCGTCTGTATAGCGACCAAATATTTTCCTATCGACCCTTGTTTTTTTAACTGATCGACTAGTTAGCGGTTCACAACCTGCTCCAATGAATCAATTATCCATTAATTCTTATATTTGCAACCAAAATAGAGTCGTTTCTGTAATACATGTTTCTACTTCATATTTAAACAATTGTATAACACAACGACTCTCACATCCATTCATTTGGGTAGACAGCAAACTAAGCAAACTCCATTTATTTGCCAAGGTACTTACTTTCAATACGTTATAAGCATTTTAGCAGCATATTTTTCAGACTTCTAGTTAAAGTATGATAGTTTTTGTATGATTAGTTTTTTGAAAGTTCTTTCACTCTAGAAGATTTTAATCATGTTTATTTATGTCCATACGACTGGGTTGATAAGTTGTTTTAAATAAAAACAAAATTAAACTGTCCGGTCCTCTCAAGTAGACCAACACATTATGTAAAAATTTTCCAAATGGCTTCTAGTTTGCGTCAGAGGAACCGGGCGATTTCTTATCGAGGATCCACTCGTATTTACCCACATAAAATGAAAAAAAATCAGTAACACTTGCAAATGAAAAGTTATAACTTACGAATTTAAAATAATGAGGCTGAATATTTTATATCTTTTGTCTTGCTGACAGATTTTGACTTACGAGGTGAAAGTTCCTCAAACCAGCATACCACGATTTGTACGTAAAATTAAATTGTTGTGTGGAGAATTATAAAGATATGCGTTTCATCTTTATTTTCCATTTGTTTTTTTAACTCGGTGTCATCAGTAGACACGCATAATGCAAAAAAGCAAAACCCAAAAAGCTTGATTGCGAACAAACCCTAAAAGCATTTTCTGCAAGCTTTTTAATTTGATTCAAAACTTGCAAATGGTTGGAGAATAGCTTGTAGAATCTGATGTTAAACCCGTGCGAGTGAACAGTGATAAAATGTTGTATTATACAGCTCAAATCTCACTTGTACATCCATTTAGATTTGATATGGCGATTGTGGAAAATTTTGCGAAATCCCCCCGGCAGTCAACGTGTGAAAATCTTTTATTAAAAGCATTTTCCAAATATTTTCACAAATCCTGTTCAACGATTTTAATTCTCCATACTAGATATTCTTTGAAATAAATAATAATCGCCACTAAGACAAAACTCATCATGAAAAAAATACATATAATTTTTTAATACCACCACTAATTTTACTTAAACCCATCAAATTATTTTCTTCGGTAACTGCACATAATTTTGTTTACACAGAGGGATAATTTGAAATTTATTATCTTTCAAAATAAACTCAGTCCAGTTAAGGTCTGAAAATTCACACCACATTCACTGTTCAGTAGGATGTCAAACTAATAAATCTCTAAGTTAACCCCTTAGCGATCCAGGGTAAAGCAGCTAGGCATGTTTGACTTTCTAGTGAATTATGACTCAGCTCTACATTTAAACAGCAAATTTAAATGCGATTAACGTATTTTAATGAGGGCACAGGCAACTTCTGTACCACTCGGATTTCACACTTGCTAAGAAAGGGTGAATTACGTCCAAGCCATTTAGTTTGACATTGGACATATGGAGTAAAAAATTGGCGACAGTTCACTTCATTCTTCCTAAGTAATTAAACTGTGCATCTTTATTTATGCAAAGTGCTGTAATTAGTTTTTGTATTTTGCTCCGTAATTAAAAGAATATGTTATGGAGAATATTGGCAATAATAATATTATTGGTACCAATAATATCAATTTATATTAAAATATTTTTCTAAATAGTTTTCTCATTTTGTTGATGGACGATGGCAAAAATTTTTGCTACAAAATATATCAAAAAAATCACATGCTTTTACAAACATTTTTGTCTTCATTAAACACATTTTTTACAATGAAGACTTCAAAATAAGTATTTTTTAAAACAGTCTTCGAATGATAATAAAGTTGTAGACATTGACACAAAAAATATAATAAAAACTATCCTTAAATTAAATCGAAGAAAGTCAAGTATTCTCTAGGAATATGTATGCGAGAAGTCATGATTAAAGCTGGAACATCGGGACTGATTACTGTACCGCAGGTGGCAGGGTCGGCGTAGGGGATACGACACGAATGCTGCGTAGTCACATAACAGTCCACAGGTGTTAGTTGTTTGATGGATATCAATGCGTATGGTGATATTCGAATTATTGTAAAATGTTCCACCGGCAGCCGGCAGCTTTACCGACCATTCGTGAATCAAATCCACAATTTTCTTTAACGTTTTCAGTAATTATAAAAGACACACCCAAAGCAAACGTCATATAAAAAATCGCCAGTTACAAGTTACATGTTTCTGTATGATCTCCACAAAGCATTAAATAATTTCACAAATAATGCCCAGCAATTCCTGAACCTCCACAGCCGATATTAACAAATAATTAATTAAATTAAACACCACAGATAATATAACCCCCTGTATCCCTGAAAGTACCTCAAAGTACTTTGTGCGGGAGATGGCTACACATTTAGGGGCAATGGACACAACCAATGTCCGAGTATGCAAGTATTAATTTCTGGTTTAGTAAAAATTCTAGCCCCTCGACCGGGGATCGAAACCGCGACTACAGGGTGAGGCACAAATGTCCTTACCACTCGAGCATGATGGGGAACTTGGCAGGAAACCGCTTTTCGATATAATAAACTTTTCGATGTAGTTAAATCTGTAATTTTCAAATTTGACCCAAAGGAATTCAAAGTTATTAATGAAAATCAACAGGAATATGAAAATCTACAAGTCAAAGCAGCTTTATGCGACAGTTCTACCTCCTTAGCTTAATCGTTTGAAATAGCTGACAATGTAATTATGAAACTACAAAATTTAATTGATACTTCTGGCGTTGAGGCTGCAACGAAATTTATTGTTATATTAAATAGAATTCCGGATTTTGCGCAACTACGCCACATTAAGCACTGCCTAAATGACAGAAATTCTATAAGTGCGTATGCAAATCTCCGAATGTAGAACATTCGTTTTCAAAATGCGGTG